TGGTGATAATGATGGTGGTGATAATGATGATGGTGGTAATGATGATGATGATGATGGTGGTAATGATGATGATGGTGGTGATAATGATGATGGTGGTGATAATGATGATGGTGGTAATGATGATGATGATGGTGGTGATCATCTGAGCGATGGTGGTGATGATGGTGGCATAGTGATAGTGATGGTGGTGATGATGGTGGTGATGATGACAGTGGCAGTAGTGAGTGATGATGGTGCTGATGATGATGGTGGTGGTGGTAGTGATGGTGGTGATGATGAAAACGAGAATGGTAGTTAGTGATGGTGGTAACAATGATAATGGTGGTGTGGCAACAAAGACAATTGGATTGTCTATGGTGGCAATGAAAGTAGCAGTGGTGGTAGTGATAATGGTGGTGATTCCTGGGGGTCTTACTGTATTTATTTCTGGAACCTTTTGAGAGGCTTACTGGAGGTGATTTAATTCAGAGGGAAGCAATTGCAACGTAGGGAGGCATTATACAGGATACACAGTAAATTAACATGGAATTGCTGTCAAACTAAATATAAGCAGTACACATGCGTTTGTAGGTTGTAAGGGGAGGGATTAATGATGTGATGCATAAAAAATTGCTTCCAGTAAAAGAGGACAGTTATTTGAAAGGAGCAGGGGAATTGAGGATTTATGGTAAATTTTTCATATATATTATATAATTTCAAACAGCACAAAATTCACAAACTAAATGTTCACCACACTACTCACCTTTCACAAGCCTTACAGAAATTCAGATGAACTTGCTTTGGGATACCTTCAGTGATATCAACTTGAGTTCTCAAACATGCTACACACATGTTTGAAGGGTTTGGCTGAGTTGCTGTACCGCATTGGCAGCACAAACTAAAAAAACCCACAAAAATTACTTCAAGGGTACTACAGTAGGTAGGTTTCATTAAGCACTATACACTCAAGAATTATAAAAAACTGCACAGTTCAAAAATATTCACTAAACTGAAAATTTTGCAAAATTTGTGAAAACTTCCGGCAAGCACGGGTAATTTGGGGTGATCTGCTAGCCAGTGGAGCGATTCTAGAATACTCGCCACTAACCGGCCTACTGTAACCCTCACACTAATGCACCTATCAATGTTGTTAAGCTGGGGCGAAGTCCAGAACTTTATATGGCGGGTTTTGTCATAGGTGCAGCCACCCTCGGGAATTTGATTAGCACTTTGAATCAAATGACTTCTATTAATACAGTATTTATTGTAATTTATTGCAAAATGGTGGAGTATTTGGCCAATAATTATTGCCTGGCAGTGGGGCATTTGATTGGAAATTTGATAAAAAATCAAATGCCCACATACTGTATGCCCGACCCCCCCAGTCTGGGGCTTAACATTGATAGGCGCATAAACCTAACACTAAAGCCTGGTTCACATGATGAAATAAGCATAAGCACAAGCAGCGGAACCTTTCATGTGCATAAACGTAAGCATATAAGAAGAACGCAACATTAGTTCTTCTTATGTTTATGTTTATGCACATCAAAGGTTCCGCTTGCTTATGCTTATTTCATCATGTGAACCAGGCTTTTAAACCTAACCCCCAACCACAGGAACATAATTTTACACACCGCTAAACGCAGTGGCAGCGTATTCTAGTACCTAGCCCTTTCACGAAAATCCTTTAATATTTTAAGATTGTGCAACCCTGGTATATTACATTAAACTGCATAAGATAACATTTTACATTTATAATTGAATATAAATAATTGTAAATTATATACTGTTACAATAGCCGGGCATATACGAGAAAGGGCACTCTAAATAATGGTCATATGTGCCAGGAGTTACTTAACAATAATATTAAGACATAAACTCACATAGTTTGAGGCCCTGTTGAAAGAAAATCAACGTATTCCATTGCCATGCTTTTGAATCTTGAACTTTCAATGTGGAATATGGCGGATCAGCACCGGCGATTCGATCCCGGTGTCTTTAGCCGTACGGCGAAACAAGAAATAAAATTATAAATATTCTGTATAAATTTCTATTTTAATTCAGCTATTTCCTAAAATTCAAACAATTTATTGTTTTAAATTCTTTATGTTTGCACAAATACATTACTTTTAGATTTGTTGATTTAATAAAAAAGTATTTTTATTTTTATACAAAAGACATATGAGAATAGATGGTATTTTACTCGTAGGTTTAAACACCCGGTGGTACATCTGACCCGATAGCTGGAAATGAACAATTAATCAAAATACCAGTGATTTTTTCCAAATAACAATTACAAAATTTTGTGAAAATGGTTTGAAAAACGTCGTGGAAAAATGCCGCCAACACTAACCAACAGGTAATAAACATTATCGATTCCATTGGTGTTTTTAAATTCATAAATTCTATCATGACGATGTATGAATAGCGCGAATATAGATCAAGGGTGAATGGATTTTATGCGAATTGTCCATATTTTTACATTCGTGTTGCTTTAATGCTTTAATGTGTTCGAGTGCGAATAGGGTTAAATTATGTTGCAGATTTATTTGAATAAGTGCGCAATTGCGTTGTAGTGATGTTTATTAAGTACAAGTAATGGTGTTGATATATTATGAAAAAGTATGCGGTGCATTTTTTGACATTAACATCATAGTTCTAGCTAGATGCGCTGAAGTCTAGGGTTGAGAATTTGTACAGTGTTGCATTAATATGAAAGATAAGATATTTTTATCCTTGTCGTAGAACTTCTTTTTTGTACTTCGCATTTATATTGTCCATAGGTACAGAATTATAACGTGCAAATCAATGTGTGCTAAACAGTCAATATTATTGCCTGGGGGTGGGGACATTTGTTTGCCCAGTGGTGGGGCTTTCACACAGTTCTTCTTTCCCTGGGGTTGGGACATAGGCATTTTCTTTCCAGAAATGGCTAATTCCCGGGGGGGGGGGGGGATCAAATAGCCCATCAATCCTTGGCATGGAATGGCTTGATTTATCGAATGTAGGCCTGCTTTATCGAATGTAGGCCTGCGCAGAACATATGCGCAGAACAGACTTTACATGGTCGTTAATGAAATTGTTTTGTTTTCAGAGTGGCAAATGTAGTGGTCCATAGTTGTATAACTTGTATGCTACGGCAAACCACTCCATTATAGTGTAAACATAATATAGTCTCAATACTAGAAACCTACAGTACTAAATTTTTAGCAGAATGTTAGCCATAGTGTTATTAATAGTGTAAACACGGCCTAAATGTCTAAATAAAGTTTGAAAAGTTGGGGGGAAAAGTTTTCTCGTGCTCACCTATTTTTTACAACCCCTGGACTGATTATCTCTCCAGGTGAACTTGGGCAAAGACGAGATAGTATCTGTACATCTGATACTGCAACTTGTATCATATGCAGTTAATTGCCAAAAATTTGAATTCATACAAGCCACAAAAGGTCAACATTTTGCAAAATTCTGTTACCAACTTACCCAATAAGTTGTGTTATAATTGATAATTACACAAGCAATCAATGAAAAGAAACATTGTATTATGGGTTGATATTTTAATATGTTAGGGCATCTGTCAATATATGTAGTTGCAAGTCCCTGCGCTTGCTGCCTTCAGCTTTGCCTGTTTAGGCACAGATTAAATGAAGATCTAAACAATTTTTTTTTAAATTTATTCCCATTCTTTCTGAACAACAATCTCTAGTTGAGCAATGCCCTTGTTTCCAGGGCATTGCTTGCTCTTTTCTTGTAAACCATCCATAGATTTTTCATTGGGTCGAGTTTCGGACTTTTCGCTGGCATCTCAATGCTTTTTTTGCATGATTTCTGGATCTTCGTGTTGCTGGCACATTTTCCTAATCGAATGCCTTGTTGTCTGTCATCACTCATATAATCCGTCCCGAAACAAGCAAAGGAGCTCCCAATTTGTCATATTAAAACCAACATGTTTTAATATTATCTGGCTGATACATTTTGTTCAAAATAGCTTAAATGAAATCATGCTAACCAGACGATTTTACTCATCAGGGGGAAAGTCTGGGGCATAGGAAGCATCACAAGATTGGGGGGCACTGGCTTGCAGGGGTACTTTTGGACATTGAAGGGAGGGGGGGACAAAAATGTTCTTGTAATACTATACCGAAATTGGAAGTTTTTGACCAAATTTTTTTTAAAAACATCAAAATTTCCAAACAAAAAGGGCACTTTTGATGTTAATTTAGTATTTATAGCGACATTAGCTTGTATAGAAAGTAGGGGTGCACCGGATTTAACGAATTTTCCGGCATCCGGCCGGATTTGGAGAAAATCCGGTCGGATTTAAATTTCTGTTTTCACCTTAAAAAATTCACCAAGAATGGGATATTTGGCAGCTTAAAAGTTTTAAAAAACAATTATATTATTATAAAATATTAAGTTATTAACAAAAAGATGTTTAAAAAAGGTTTAAACACAATCAAAAATCTAAACTGACACTAACTAAAAATAGTAAAAAACATAAACCGTCATTTTGAATACTGATTTATCCCCAATTGTCCCCATTACCGGTTTATCTCAAATCCGGCAAATCTCCCCATTACCGGTTTATCTCAAATCCGGAATTTTTGTCCAAATCCGGTAAATCCGGTTCTGGCCGGATTTGAAAATTCCAAATCCGGTGCACCCCTAATAAAAAGGGCACTTTTCATCACAAGAAAAGGCACTTTTGATCTTTTGAAATAATTTAAGGCACATGCCCCCGGTTCCTACGTCCCTGGGGAGAGTGCTGCCACTCGGTGGATTAATCAGACTTTCTGCCCATGCACACTGTTAAATTTTTATTTTTGGATTTGCTGCCAGGAAAAAAATGTGCCGGGTGTCCCCCAAAAAACTGGACACTGCTTGATTTCATGTAACATATACCTATAATATAGCCTGTAAAAGCTATCACAATGAAATAAAGATCTTTGCATTCAGAAAGGACTACAGTAACTTAGATTTTGATATATACAGTACAGTAGCACTTGAATTTACATGCAATATTGACGTGCTATATTGATGTTTGAACGTTGAACTACTCAACTACTGTTTTTGGAAATGCCAAAAATTAGCATGAAACAACCTTAAAATTACCGATGTAGTTATACTTGTTAAATAATAAATATTTTTATTTTTGTTGCATCTTGCGAAGAAGTGCTGTATCTCGCTCATTATTGCATGTAAATTCAAGTGTTATATATCAAAATCTAAGTTAGTCGTTTCTGAATGCAATAATATTTATTTCATTGACATTGCAAAAGATTTTATAGCTTTTATGCTACATGAAATCAAACAGTGTCCAGTTTTTTGGGTTGTTTTGGGGTGTTTGTTTTTTTTTGGGGGGGGAGACCTGGTATTTTCTAGGCATGTTGTGTGCATATAACTAGTTTGTCTTGGCTGATGGTTCTTCTACTGTATGTGTATCAATATAGCACTATACAAATTATCAGAAGAATATTAGGAATATAATCTGTTTCCAGAACATTACATTGTAAAACATACCTTATTATAGGAAATTAACGATGCACTTTATTAACGCGACATAAATTAACGTGTCATCTAATTAACGCGAATTGCTTTCAGGTACTTCTATAAAACTGATTAAATTAACGCGAATCTGACAGTTTATGGTTAACAAGTTAATTTAACTAACGCGAGTCGAAGAATATAAACACAACACCAAAAGTTTAATATTATATATATACTACCAATTAAAACAGTACGCGAGTAGATATGTCAAAACTGTAACGTTAAAAGTTAAAGTCATTTAAGCCAATGTTAGTATATAAAATATATAGTTCAGCTTAAGGTTCTGCCGACAGTGACAGTGAAGAGGTGGACTGATGTTTTTGTTTTGAGGTTTAATATGATCATTATGATGTATTCCGAGTTAAAAGAGTTCATGTTATATGAAACAAATCAAGGACAAGGTCTTTTTAATTGACGATAACTAAAATTTGCATGCTTGAAATTAACGAAAACATAAATTAACAATTAAATTAACGCGAAATTTTAAAATACGTGTTAATAAAGTGCATCGTTAATTTCCTATAATAAGGTATTCATTTTAATTAATGGGTTAACCAAAGTACTTGCCCATCCCTCAATGTACAGTACAGGTACCTGGAGCCCAGTTATTTACTGGAACTGTATGTCAACTGCTATGTACAGGTCAAGTTCGGTACTAATTTGAAATATCACATACCTTGCAGAGAGCTGAAAAATAAATCAACAGGCATTGATATAATTGTGCCAGAATTCCAAGTGATTCCTGGGAAACTTGTGAACACAGTTCTGTACCATGTTATCGTCATAACGCGACTTTTTTATTTCAAAACGAGGCAGCACAAGGAGTCTGACTTGGTGCAGTTTGCAGTAAGTATACTGTATAAGACTATAAGCAATGCAAAGCTTGCTCATCTATTACATGAATTACATACAGGCGATGAACTGGCTTGCTTCCCTGGCGTGCTGGCTAGCTGGCTAACTGAGCAGAAAGCTGAAAGAAAGAACTTTAGATTTTGCTGCAAGTGCGACTACAAGAATAGCTTATTTGCATGTGGATATGCGATATTCTTAAGGCGGATTTCCAGTCCTCGCACGAAGCTCCTCGCAGCTCGCTGCGAGTGCTTGCATCTAATTAAAATGAACTGTTTAGCATTGTCACATTGTGATTGGATGAAAGTGCTCATGCATCACCCGCAGCGAGCTGCGAGGAGCTTCGTGCGAGGACTGGAAATCCACCTTTAGTTAAGGCTATAAAAAAGGTCATTGAGTTTAGATTAGTGTCAGATAAAGATTAGATTAGGGTTAGATTAAGATTAGGTTATAGGGTTAGGGACTTACATGTAGGGTTCAACATGTAGGGTTCAACATGTTTCGCGAATTTATTGTGTTGATAATTTCGAACGTGTTTAAACACTTATTCACTTATATAGTAAAGTCAAAGGTCGAGCTCATGGTAAAACAAACACATACCACGAGAAATATAATGGCATAAGATGATGGCAGGCATGTGCAAACAATGAATCTTGTAATCATGCTCGTACTCATAGTAAAATCTAAAGGTCTCTATTGATTGACTGACTGTGACTGCAGTCACTCGACCTCTTCCCAATGTTCGTCAGAGTATAGTTTTAGATTCATTCAAATTGGATTTCAATTTTGACGGGATAAAAAATTGTCAGTCGACAGTTTTGCATACGCACGCATCTACTCATAGAATCCACACTCTATGTGACCATACAGTACGTATTAATTTAATTTAATTAATTAGCTTTGCCTTGCAAATAACTATAATACAATTAATGGCAGGGAGTCCGTAACAGCGCTTAGCCAATTACTACGGCCCCATAAAACTAACATTAAAACTAATATTACAAATTTAAAAAATACAATAATCAACTGATAACAAACAACATATGAAAATGACAACAATACGTCTTTTACATGCAGCACGAGATTGGAATACTAAGACTACGAACAGAGTTACACTTTGGACAAATGGTTTTGTACGAACGAGGATCGTATAGGTGATGTGCACCACTCCCATGGAATCGATTCAAAGGACAAGGAGGTTTTCGCCATGTTGGATGATATTCGCATTGCAAAAAAAGCAAAATCCTTTGTTAATGTCATCCAACATGGCGACGGTGACGTAACTTGCACACCACCTGAATTAAATTGTCAAGTATTCAGAAATCAACATTTCACATGACTTAATGGACGACTTTCGCTTTAGACTAAATTTTAATCTAAGTTAGAACAACGAAATCTATCACCACAGCTAGAAAGAGCGTCTTGGAATTAGTAATATTACAAAGTTTGGTTGCGAAATGTTGTAAAATACGGAAAATATAGCACTTCAAAGTTGGCAAATTTGTATACTTTTGTATTACGTGCGTGAATTGGTAACTAAATTAACTTACCAATTTCCGCACGTAATAGAAATGTATACAAATTTGCCAACTTCACAGGGCTATATTTTCCGTATTTTACAACATTTCGCAACCAAACTTTGCAGTTTTTCTAACTTTGATAACTTCTTTCCAAAAATATCCTTTGTTATTCCCAGATTAAAAATTTTTCTAAAGCGCAAGTCGTCCATTATTACGATCACGGTGCCAATATGCGTAGTGCCAATAAAAAGAAAGCTGTGGATTGGTAGGGATTCAACTACCTGAAAAATACAAGGAGAACTTTGACGTTTCGAGTATAGGCCCTTCATTGGGAAGTCAGGAAAATTATATATGCTTTTATACTAATGAGTGATGGTATAAAAATCTAAAGTGATCATGTGACAAAAACCAATCAGGTGAATTGTGTCAAAACGTGAAGTGTAAACGAGAAACTGTAAACCACATTACATAATATTGATACAAATATACGGAAAACTACAACAAATACAATAATAAACAATTCTGGAATAAGGTGAGAATTCAAAGTAATGTCTTTGTCTGCTTTAGAAAGACTTTGATTGCAGTACTTTAAATTTTCCTTGTATTTTTCAGGTAGTTGTATCCCTATAATTATAGAAACTTTAGACAGTCTTCACCAATCTCACCGCTATACTCCATCGAACTTTTCTCTTATTCGACTTGTGTTTGAGCAGGCATGATTTGAACCGGAGTTGGCTCATTGGGGCTTTTCCTGTTTTAGGCTCAGCCTAAACAGGATGAGCCAACTCTGGTTCAAATCATGCCTGCTCAAACACAAATGAGAAAACGAGAAAAGTTCGACAGAGGATAGCGGTGACATTGGTGAAGAGTGCTCACAGTTTTTATTGTTTTCTGGCAAACTGTATCATCGTATCCATATCAATTGGCAATTTAAATTATTAACTATTAATTACATTGTGTCCTAATGTGACCACTTTGTTATTTTAATTAACATCTAACACCAGATGATTTTACTTGTCAAAGGGACAGCGCTGGCGCTCAATGGCTTCAAGTGCCTCCACAATGCAGGCAATTTTCTGGGACTGGGGGGCATGCTCCCAGACACCCCGAGAATTGTGACTCACAAAGTAATACGTCCCCCGCCCTTAAGAAACCCACTAATATCCAGGTGCCACTGGGCACTTCCCTAACAATCTCTTTACCATCATACTTCATTCTTATCAACCTAGGTCGCAAAAAAGTATGAAGACGTCGAAGAACTTCATTCAAAACTTGTTGCAAAATTCCCCAGTGTAAATTTCCCCTCCCTACCGAAAATGTCCCTAATTATCACCGATAAAACCCTCAACGAGCGAAAGAAGTTTCTGGAACAGTTACTAAGTATGGTCGCTCGTACACCCAAGCTTTGCAGTTGCTCACCTGTTTTGAGTTTTCTTGAAGTGAACAAGATTAGCATTAAACAAAATCCGTTGCAAAAACCAGAACCGGAAAAACCCAAGGTTTGTAGGAATGTGTTATTATTACCTCCGCCAGGAGGTTATGTAATCATCTGGGTTTGTATGTGTGTGTGTGTGTGTGTGTGTATGTGTGTGTGTGTGTGTATGTGTGTGTGTATGTGTGTGTGTTTGTCTGTGAGCACGATAACTCAAGAAATACCAAACATATCCGTACGAAATTTTGTGAGTGCATTTCCCATCGGCTAAGGAAGAACTGATTAAAATTTGGTTGAATTTGGTTAAAAATTGAATGAGAAATAACAAAAGTTTGTCTTGTTTATCCCGGTCAATTAAATAAAACTTTATACTGAATGCGTAATTAGGACGTGCATAATATATGCACCAGCCATTCAAATTCTAATAACAATAGATTACTTCAATAGTTTGCGCGTAGGCGGAGGTATGCAGTCTCTGAGTGCCCTCTAGTTTTAGATATTTTTATCTGACCGTTACTTGAGAACTGATTGGTTAATTTTATCGTCAAATTGTTTTTTTGTCGGGTTTTTTTTGCGCGAAAACCACCTAAATTATAATGACGTAAATATTGGGATTTTTTAGGGAATCTCGGGATATTTTGGGAGCTTACTTGGGATTGTTACAAAATTACAGCGGAATGCGGAAACATCAAGACAATTGTGTTGTTTTTTATCAGTCCAAATGTTAAGTTATAAAATGTCTTCAACATTTCCACAAATTGAGTTTTTCTTTTATCTTTCAGGCAGCGATAAAGCCATTTAAAAGTTGTAGTAGATTAACTTTAAATATAACAGTAATTAAACAAAAGTTGACATTCAAAGAAAAGATTTGTCATGATGATGTGTTTTGTTCGAGGTTTTGTTATACTACATTTTGGGCGATATTTTCCCATGCATCTTTCTTGCATTATAAAATTGCAACAAAATTCCGACGTTTCCGTGTTGACATTGGAACAAGGCGTTTCCGTGTTGACATTGGACAACACGGCTCTTAGCCAATCAGCGTTCAGAATTTACACTATATTATAAATATATATACTGCAGTGCAGGGATGGATTTACTGGGGGGGTGCACCCTTACCCTGGCCAGGGGGTGCTATTTTTCATGATAAAGCAAAAAATTATGAGACAAAATGAGATACAGCAATTTGAGTAATAACATGATGATAAGCGAACTGTGAACAACAATTACAATTCAAATACAGTAGTCAAGCAGGACTTTGCAGTAGTCAAGCAAGTTGATGGGCGGGCGGCACACATGACCGACACAACTCGGCACCAGGGGCCAGTCGTAATTAACGCTAACTGTAGTTAGCGTTAATCACTGTAGTTAAATCCTTAACTGTAATTAGTTAACTGCATGACTTAACTGCGTTGCACAAAACGTAGTTAGTCGGATAGTTAACTAATCACGTAGTTAACTGTGCGCGGGACTTGCGTGGGGCGTTTAAACACAAAATTACATAAAGTAAGCAACGAGTAACAACCGCTGACACGCATTTTCAACATGATTGTGGACTCGTATTTTGCAAATAGGCGGGAATTTTATTCAAAACACTAGAAAACAGTGAAAAATAAACAAGAAAACAAGGAAAAACCGCCACAAAAATCATAGAAGAATGCAATTTTTCCTTAAAAGGTATAGCTGTTTAGCAATTATATATCAGTGTTTCTTGGTGTAATGGACCATACTTCGTCTTCGAGAAATCGTCCTGTGCAAAAAATATGTTCTGTTTTCGTAAAAACACCAAAGCGATAGCATTTGAAGAGTTTATACAGGGAAGCTAGCGATTGAAAATCTCAAGTAAGCGTTGCTTTTCATTATTGTTTTATTGAAAAATGTTGTTCACTCCTATACAAACGCCATTTTTAACTACGTTTTGGACAGTTAACTATACCCTAAAGCATATATATAGTTAACTTTAACTACTCTTTAACTGCAGTTAAGGCTAACTACACTTTTATACAACCGGCTTAACTACGTGATTAAAGTTAACTATTTTTTTAGGCTTTTTAACTACTTTTTAACTGCAGTTAGCGCTAACTACGTTTTTATACAACCGGCCCCTAGCTGGCAGAGCACCCCCCCCCCCCTACCAGATCATGCTGGATCCATCCCTGCTGCAGTGGGTGGTGCCAGTTGTGTTTTTCGCAGCTGCTCCTAGTTAGTTCTGAAAATTGTACATAATCTTCCATAATTTTTTAGGGAGCATCTCGCTCGATAGAACTAACCAGTTTGATACAATTTTAGACCTGATCAGGAGCTAGTAATTGACCGATAATCGTATCGGTCGATGTTTGCCTTACCGGTAGGCAATCGGAATCGGTAGAATTATCTATATTTCCGATTGTCTAAAACCGATTGTTGAGAAAATACACACTTTAAAAATTATATGCATTGCCGCATGTTGATACACGTTGCGTTTTAAAGCAATACATGTATGTCAAATTAATGCGTGAAGCGTGCCATTCATTAACGGTTCCGATTTCCATTAGGCGGAATTTTTGCGCGTGGATTCGTCTTTTCTAATTAGTTCCACACGAGAAATCACAAGACAATGAAAAATTCCGTTCCGCGCGCAAAATTCCGCCTAATGGAAACCGGCTTGAAGGCTGTTTTCCACTAGGCGGAATTTTCCGCGCGGAGCGGAATTTCTCTTTGTCTTGTGATTTCTCGGGTGGAACTAATTAGAAAAGACAAAGACAAATTGCGCTCCGCGCGGAAAATTCCGCCTAGTGGAAAACGGCCTTAACGTTGCAAATTATCGTCATGAATGATGTCACCTTTACTCGGTAGACATTATGACCTCATTATAAAATCGGCATCGCGGTATCTATCAGATTGTGGCTTCACTACCAGGAGCTATCGATCTGGCAGAAATCGATCCTGCCGCCCTGCGATTCCGGTACAGCGCTCTAACCAACTGAGCTAAAGAGTCCAGTTGTCGAGCTGTAACTAGAAAGTTAAACGAAAAGTGGATAGAAGTGGAAAATGAAAAAATGAACAACGAAAAATGGGTAGAAGCGGCGATCTAGATACCCGACGATTCCGAAGTTCGAATTCCACTCGAGACAACGAATTTTTCGCTATGCTCTGCAGTGTCAGAATTTTATGAAACAAGTAAATGATCAAAATCTGTTTTAATTCTATATTTTCTCTAAACTGGCCGCAATTTTTAGGAAGAGGAAACAGAAGAAAATAAACAAGAAGTTGAGCGAGATATTTTTGGTGTGACACAATACGAAGGGTCGGACGACGAAAGCGACTCCCATTCGGGCAGTGATCAAGAAGACGCCGCTGTTGTTGACATGAAACGACCCAGTGACCCACAACCGAAACCCAACAGTTCCCAACCCACTGTTTTTTTCAAGGAACAAGAGGAGAACCTCACAGATCAGTTTTTGAAATCTAGTGGGAAATTTTCGTTTGGAAGCCATGACGCAAACGAGAAAGATGTTAGTGATTTATTTATTCCGGATGAAGCGAGGAAGTCCGATGATGTGAAGTTGTTTGATAGTGACGATGATCCTGATTTGCTTGAGTAAGGTTTTGTTCATCACAGTAGTTGTTTGTGTGATTATTCAACGAACCTTTACTGAATAGTAAATACAACGAAAACAAAGAATAACAAAATAGCAACTGCAACATCAGTAATGGCAAGAACAGTAGAAAACGAAACAACAGCAGCGACAGCAACAACAAACACAAAACAGCTATATCAGAAACAACGACATCGGCAACAACACCACCACCACCAACAACAACAGCAGCAACAACAACAACAACACAACAACAACAACAACAAAGCAACAACTGCATTAGCTGGAGAACAACAACAGAAACAAGAACAGCGACAACGACAAAGGGAACGATATCAGTAAAAACAACCACAATGACAATGAATGTCCACCTGTGATTTTTTTATTGGTATAAGAATTTAATATTTAAATTCGTACATGCTTTATGTCAACCTATCCTCCACTTTATTCCTAGAATTGAAGACGATCTTGACAAGCTACTTAATGTTTCTAAGAAAACAGAGAAGCCTGCGCCAAGTCCCAAACCCCGCGCTGCACCAAAACCCGATCTTAAACCGCGTCCTACCCCAAAACCAAGGTTTGTGGAGTCAACCAGCAATGCAGACTCCGACTTCTTGACCAAACCTGACAAATCAGCCAAACCTGAAAAACCAGTGAAGCCTGAAAAACCGGTAAAACCTGAGAAACCGGTAAAACCCGAAAAACCAATCAAACCTGAAAAACCTGTCAAACCTGAAAAATCCGTCAAACCTGATAAACCAGTCAAACCAGTTGGGCCTCCAAAGCCGAAACCGAGAACAAGAGCAAAGGTTGCCTCCGAGGAAAAGAGTATAGAAAAGCAGAAGAATGTTCCTGTTGAAGTTACAACGGGGTATGTTATTGCTGGGGTTTAATATATGCAGGAAATGTTTTTTACTTCAGCTGACGAGTCTTAATGCAGTGAGCCTAAATCCCCCACTTATATAACTTGCTGGCTACACCACGTGGATCTCCGAGCAGGTTGCAAATCTTTGTGGTGAGTCCTTAAGGGTGATTATGGTGTTATAGTGTTATTACAGAAGGAATCCGGAGTTCTCATAGAACTCCTGCAATGTCTAGGCATTGTAGTGGACGTGAAAAAAAACACCATTCACATGCAACAGTGAGGTGGAATTAAATAACCATTGATAGGCTAGTCTTTGAAAGAAGTAAATTGAAAAGTTAATCATACTGCAAGAATCGAACTTGTCGTATTGTCGTAGAGCAGCGTTCAGCTCTGCAAATAAAATTCTATTGGTTACATTTTTATAAACTTCACTAAATTTATACACTAATAATAAATTTTTAAAAAATTAATGAAGTTTTCAGGTCTAAATGAGGTAATCTGGATGATCCAATAAGGGTCGTTTGTTATTTATCTTATTATGACAACGGCGAAATTATAATCAGATAACTACACTGGACTAGTATCTCAAAGTCGCGGGTTCGATTCCCACCGTGGTCAGGCAAGCTTTTCAGCTTGCCCGGTGTGAATGCACACTCGGAGTAACGTCACAGACATCGTATTCACCTGAGTCCATAACACCAACACACACAAAAGTCAAGACAACTACACATAACAGGAATTTCCAGATCTAAATCAGACCCTTGCAACTTTTAGGTCGAAATCAGACGCACTGGATGACATCTTTAGCAAACCATCAAGAAAAGATCTGTTTAGTGGCATTGATGACGAAGATGAAGATTTATTTAAACCAGCGGAGCCAGAGGACATTGATGACATTACAAAATATATCGAGAAAAATATCGGGAATATTGGCAATGAGGAAGTGGACCTTTTTTCATAGGTCATAGGAAATTAAATTGAAAATTAAGGAAAAGCAGAGACCTTCGACTTCGAGAGGCACTATCGCTCTGTCACGTTTCAGTTCCCCTTTTTCTCTTTTTCTACAAACTCAAAGTTGTACTAGCTTTGGTTCAACTGTGTTATAAAGATGTGTTGTGCCAAAGAGAGGATGATAACAAGTTTGTAGTAGCAGATATTTAACGAAAAAATCTCACAGTCGTAGTCGGTTCTCGTAGCCGTCGTCAAATCTAAAGTTCCCTATTATTAAGGTCCAGACACACCGGACGCGATTGGACAACGCGACGCCATTTTTCGATTTTCACTGACCGATAACTTTGATCCTAGTTTAAAGTTTCCAAATATTTATAGAAGCGCTATAACCATGATTATTATACATTGTAGTTGGTAAAAGCAATTTGATTGGCTAAGACCTAGCTTACAGTTAAATCACGCAACCTACGTATCTGCAAATGAGCCTGCGATGATTAGCAAGCGGTATCTATTTGCAGCCAAAATACAAGAACCTTCCCACTTCCGCGTCTGTAACTTGTTTTGTATTTCTGTAATTTGTTCTATTTTTGGTAGCGATTTCTGTCGGCAAATATCGCGGGAGAATTCCCCTTTCTTTCCTTTGTATACGTCAATTTGTAGTAAAGGATACACCTTTCGTTAGATTCTTTGCATAAAAGTTGTGAAATTTTTCATTTTAGTACGTCACTGAATGATTGTATTCGGTAATTTTAAATTTGTATAGTATGAACACACTAGGCGGCGGTTTAAAACCGATTTATCATCGCTATAAGATCTAAGTTTCGCAACTTTTATGCAAAGAATCTGACGAAAGGTGTATCCATTGCTACAAATTGACGTATATAAAGGAAGGAAAGCGAAATTTTACCGGATCCTAACGCGATATGTGCCGATAAAGCGGTAATCGCTACAGAAAATAGAACAAATAAATACAAAACAAGTTACAGAAGCGGAAAGGTTCCTGTATTTTGACTCTGTAACACAAACAAATGTATAATAAAACGATTGTTGAATTCGGTTTTTGTGATATGCGGAATTATCAAGGTCGAGGTAAGCGTTATCCAATAATTGTTAATTATTTGGTCTACATATCTTTTAAAATTTGCTTTCATTGGCTGTTTTATTTACTTTCAAAAACTAAAAAATCGCGTCGCGTTGTCGAATCGCGTCCGGTGTGTTTGGACTTTAATTAAGGTTCCGCAAATTCCTTACTCTTCAAGAAATTACTTCCTTGAAAATTCCTTCGTTCTAAGCAAAGACGAAGGACTTTGCGAAAGTCTAAGGTAATATAAGAAGCACTGATATATTTCTAGATGGTAAGACTATGTGACCCGAAACCTAACAGAATGTAGTTAACTCTCTGAACATCTTGGCTTACACCAAATCTGCGTGATTTTTAGTTGTTAAAAAATAATCAAAAAATATGCTAAAGTACAAGTAATTTGGGGTTACAAAGTATCCGTGAATGAAAACTGAAAAACATACGTATACCGCGTCGCCGCCTAATTGCTTCCCGTTGGCTTTAATATTTAACATTAATTTTGAAAAGCGTGGCCTTTTTATGTTATCCCGTTTCCTGTATGATGCATACATTTTGCAGTCTATTAATTCAAAAAACTTGTGCGTTGGAGCAAAATTCTATACAGGACTATAGACGCTATTGTCTAATTAAAATTAATAAAATTATATGTTACTAAAATCACATGTGTGCACCAGCGCTGTTATATGCATCTATAATGTATATATATATATATATATATATATATATATATATATATATATATATATATATATATATATATATATATATATATATATATATATATATGTATAATATATATATATATGTATATAATATATATATATGTATATATATATATATGTATATATATATATGTATATGTATATATATATATATATATATATATATATATATATATATATATATATATATATATAATAATAATAATAATAT